CCGAAGTCTCTCCTGCCGCCCTGGGCACTTACACGCTCGTGGGTCCACCGCCGGGCAGAAACGAAACTTTCTAGGGCCGAGCGGAAGAGTAGGAGAGCTTAGTGCCAGCGGCCATGAAGCGCACAGAACGCCCCGAGTCCGCGCGGACTACAACTCCCGGCATGCTCCACAGATGGCCTACAACTCCCATCGGGTAACGCGGACTGGTGGACACTGACTACGACTCCCGACTTGCTCCACGAAAGTGGCGTCCCTTTGGAGAAACCTAAACAAGCTTTGCGTACCTGGAGCAGGGCCGGAAGTCCTGGGCTAGTGTTGCTGGCTACTGTTGTCGAACAGTTGCAGTGTGGCTTTGAACTGTGCATAAGCCATAAATATAAAATAATGTACCTGATTCAAAAATCCCCCAGACAATGTAAAAATAGCTCATTAATATTTTTTTGTGCATTAAGTTTTACTTATTGAACAAAAAAGAAAAAAAAACCACTACGTATTGCTGGATCTAAAGTCTCAGTTTTTAACATGAAATCAGTGTTTGAAATTATGTGTTAATGATCTACCTACCACGCTTAACTTCCCCAGCCCTGTGTTTTTGCTTGATGTAGCACTGAAAAGCACCCCGATAGAACACTGCATTCCGAGACCAGAATTGATGAGCATACTAACGAAAAAGGAGAGTGCATACGATGATATCAGCTTGTCGGTTCTGTTCCTTAGCTGTGGCTGGCCACTCCTGCCTTACTTTTTGCCATTTTGGCTAGAAATGCCTTTCTGCCTCACAGAACTTTTTAACTAGTGGCGAATGCCAGATCTCAGCATTTCAGGTTTTCAGAATAGATTCTCACAAGAAATATATGTATACACATACATATATTTGCTTTTGGCTTTTCAAGACAGGGTTTCTCTGTAACAGTCCTGGCTATCCTGGAACTTGCTTTGTAGAAAAGGCTGGCCTCAAACTCACCTGAGATCAGCCCGCCTCTGCCTTTCAAGTGCTGGAATTTTAAAGCATGTGCCACCACTGCTGGTCGGACAAAGATTTCTTAATTAATTTCATATTTTACATGAGATGTATATGAGATAACATTAACTTGATGGAGTTGGCAGTTTGTGGAGAAGAATAAAAGGGAACCTCTTGACAAAAATTATTCCCTTTCCTGTTGACAAAGGAAACACACACACACACACACACACACACACACACACACAAATGGAGAAGTGAGAGGAGATGACAATGGAAATGAAGAATTATCAACATAGTGGACAGAGAAAAACTTTCTTCAACCACAGCCGGAACAACTTTGGGATGTTAAGGATGAGAGAGATTTTAAGCACCCTTGTTTGAAACTTAGTTTCTAAATAAGTTTCCAGAGAAGAGGGAGACAGGCCTCCAACAGTGGGGTGTTATATAAAGGTAGTGATGCATTTTGAGAATTTCATAATAGGGCAATACATCTGGAATATAGTTATACAAATTAAGATGACTATGACATCACTAGACAATTTAGTTTTAAGGAATCACAGTCATATATGGTCCAACATTGACCAAAATATTGTGCTCCAGATGATTCTATATATTAAGAACCTAATATGTCATACCCTAACCAAAAACCTATGTAACATTATGTTTAAAACTGAACACAACTGATGGGGATGTCTTCTGTACAAATGTTTCTCTTATTGGTTGATGAATAAAACACAGTGGCCAATAGGACGGCACAATAGGCGGGGCTAGGAGATATGGAGGATTCTGGGAAGTGTAGGCAGAGATGGGTCATCATGTGAGTCTGGGGAAGAGAGGACTCAAGTGAGGACTAGAGTGAGGTGTTCTCTGGTTGGATAAGACCACGTAGAAATACATAAATTAATAGGAATGAGTTAATAATTAAGACGGAGCTAGTCAATAAGAAACCCTAGTCATTGGCCAACAGCTTCATAATTAATATAGCGTCTGTGTGTTTATTTGGGGCTGACGTGCCTGTGGGACCAGGCTGGCGGGATAGAGTGCTCATAAAAAACAACTCTGTGATGTAGCTAGGATTCATTTATGTTTTTCAAAGTGGAGTAGACAGGCTCAGAGAGGTAAAGAATATGGGCTCACTTGGCTAATGGAGAGAGCTGTAAAGTAGGATGGGATGGAGGTACACAAAATGCTCAGCTTTATCTACAAAGAGAAGGAGGCCAGAAGAGAGCAATGGAGTCCCTTGGAGTAAAACTGGTGTTTTTTTTTTTTTTTTTTTTTTTGGGCCACCAGCTCCCAAATAATGACATGGAAACATTTATTGATTATGAAACTTGGCCTTTTAATTATTATTATTATTTTCCCTAGCAACTTGCCTTTTCTGTCTCCTTAAGAAACAAATGCCTGAGGTCTCCAGGATGGTAGTTAACTGGATGCTTCTCCACGAACACCTCCTGCTGAGTGTGAGCCCACAGGCTCCTGACTCCCCCTCACCACATTGTCCCATGCCCACAGGAAGCAGCCAGATATTAACCAGAGTCCATATACTCAAAGATTCTGGAATGTTCTGGTGGCAGCTCCACCTTAATCCCCATCCCCCCATCTCTTTCTCCCCAAACCCTGCCTGATCTCAGAAAGCCCACCAAACACAGCTCCTCCCCCAGAGATGCTCAAGACCACTCCTAAAGGATGTTTAATCTGGCCCCAGTTTAAAACAGGCATGTGGGGTTTTGGTTTCTAGTCCACATTTGCCTTCTTAGGGGCCAGAAAACCATCCAGGAGCATTTTACATATTAAACCTGTGCTTTTTTTTCTAATTCAGTTTAATCTGGTCTGATTTGAATTGCTGCATGGCAGAGAGGCTTATTGGGGTGCAAAGGCCTTAGCTTTGGCTTATTCCCAACTAGCTCTTAAAATGTACATTAACCTGTTTATAGGTTCTGCCACTTGGCTCCTTAACCTCTCCTCAGTACCATGTGTCCTACTTCCTCTGGGTCTGCTGGAGAATCCCCCTCATCAGACTCCCAGAATTCCTGTCCTGGAAGTCCTGCCTATCTTCTCCTGCCTAGCTATTGGCCATTCAGCTCTTTATTAAAACAATCAGAAGGTGGCTCAGACAGGTGAGGAAGGGTAGAAACATCTTCATCCGGTGTACTAAAAGGTTATCTCAACACGGGAGCTGGGGTTAAAATGGTTGTGAGCCACCAAGTGGGTTCTGGGGATGGAATCTCAGCAGTCAGTACTTTTAATTGCTGAGACTTTTCTCTATCCCCTTGAAATATGTTTCTTCTTGATAAATCATAGCTACTTTGTGGATTTATTTTTACTTTTCATTAATTCTTTATAATCTACTGTTTTATGATTTTATTTATCCTTTTTTGGTTGAAAGAACAGGATCTGAGTTCACCTCTGGCTGTGGATACAGACATGTCAGTCTAAACTGTCCCAGAGGGGCATTCTGGTGGAATCACCTCATATTACAAGGGAAATCGGGGTCCTCTCTTGGGGTTCTTAGTCCATTAATAAAAGAATTTAAGAAATAATTCAGAAGGAGGCTTGAGAACAATTTTATTAAGGCTTCAAAGAAAAAAAAATCCTGGCATGTAAGAGTATGGTTTTTTCCTCCCGCCGCCAGGTCTAGTCCTGCTGCTGCACCAGCCCCAAATAATACACAGAGACTCTGTATTTGATACAATACTGTTGGCCCAGTTACTTGTTTCTTATCGGCTAGCTCTGTCTTTAATTATTAACCCATTTCTGCTGATCTATGTATTTCTCTTACCAGGGAGCCAGCGGCATACTGCTTTCTCCAGACTCTCCATCTTGACTCCTCCTTCCTACTTCCTATTTCCTCCTTGTCTCCTAGTCCCTCCTATCTTCCTTTCCTATTGGCTAACAGTGCTTTATTATTAACCAGTATGAGAAACATATATACATAATGGCATCTCCCATCACTGGCAGACAAGCTATAAATCCAGGCGGGCAGCTTTCTGGAGGGGGAAGGTGTGTGTGTGTGTGTGAGAGAGAGAGAGAGAGAGAGAGAGAGAGAGAGAGAGAGAGAGAAAGAGAGAGGCTACAGAAAGACACTGTGGAGTAGAGGCCATTACAGAGATGAAAACATGGGTATGTGGTCATGAGAATAAGCTGTTGAGATACTGGAAAGGCAGAATCCAAAGGCCCTGGCTCTGGGGGCTTAGGGAAAGAGAACATAGTGCTTGAGGAGGGCTCAGCTTTGGAGAATGGTTGAAAGGGGATTGCTGGCACTATCAACGAGATGGGAGGAAGTCAGTTTTCTCTCAATCTGGAAGAGATGAAATGACAGGAATCTTCAACCTGCACGCCCTTGTTAAGTGGCCTTTGCTTATCTGAGCCTTCATGGATGTATTGTCACCTGGAAGTTAGCGACAATTTCTTATTCATCTTTGTATTGGATAAATAATTACTTAGTTCAGATGGTAGCACATGTTGCATTAAATTACGGGGTAAATATTTAAGAGCTGGTTTGTATGTTAACAGCTATTGCTTGAATGCAGACTATTTTCAGTCCAGTGGGATTTTATGGTCTAGACTTCATTGTGATTGTACTTATTTGAGGATGTCATTATCCTCATCCTGAAGACATTTTCCTCCACAAGCTGCAAAGAAGCACAGAACCAGACACCACCAAAGTGAAGAGGAAATCAAGTAGGGCAATCCTATGCACCAGCAACCTCATTGTACAATTAGCATATGCTGAGAGTTTGAGCCCTCCCAACGTCTGGGAATCCTTCTATTTGGGACCTTCTGACCGATCCCTGATAAACAATCTATGTCTAAGTGAGAGAATGAATGAATGATGAACCGAGTCCGGCAAGTACTGCTTTGGATTGCCCAGCCGGAAGCTGCGTTCCCACGGCTGTCATGTCTTCCCTCCACACTCCTTCAGTAGTTGCTGGTATCTCCGCCGCCGTTGTGTTTCTGCAGCGCTCCTTCCTGATCCACCCCCCCCTTTGCCTTCCTCAAACTTCCCAAGTCACCTCTGTGTGTCCACCCTCTCCTTTCAGTAGAAGGAGGGGCCTTCGTACGTAAAGGCACCAGGGGAGTAGGAGGATGGGACAGGGACGAATGCCTTCTGGCAGGCCTGCTGGAGGAGACTTTTTAGGTGTCTGCGGAACTTGACCCCAACAAAGACGTAGAGCACTGGGTTGAAGCAGCAGTGAGAAAAAGCCAACATGCGGAAGATGAACATAGCCATGTCCAGCCGTTGCTTGACCTCACAGGTCTTCTGGATGATTCCAGTCTCCTGCAGTGTCTTCAGGAAGAGGATGAGGTTGTAGGGAGCCCAGCTGAGGAAGTACGCCACCACAATGGTGAAGATGAGCTTGACTGTCCGGTGCCTTTGTCTGGACTTTGAACGAAACAAGGTCCTGAGAATCTGCTTATAACAGAACAGGATGATCCCCATGGAGAGGAGAAAGAAGATGTTGTGCTGGTAGACCGAGGCCAAGAACCCACTAAGTTCAGAGTAATCACATGTTGAGACAATCACCTTGTGAAAGATGGCATCAGGGATGGAGGACAGGATGCTGGCTGTCCAAACAGTTGATATCACCAGCACACGGCAGCGGAGGGTGTGGACGCCCAGAGTAGAGATGGGGTTCACTACAGACAGGTAGCGATGGATGGTCATAATGGTGAGGAAGAAGATGCTGCTGTAGAGGCTGATGGAGAAGATCAGGTTGAGGAGTTTGCAGAGGAAATCACCTAGCAACCAACCCCAATACTGTGCTAAGACCCACACAGGCAGCAGGCAGGAGAAAATAAGGTCTGAGAGACACAGGTTGAGGATGAAGACATTGGTGAGTGACTCTAGATTCTCATATTTCACCAAGACCCAGAAAACCAGGCTGTTACCCATCAGGCTGAGGAGTAAAACCAGAGAGTACAGGACAGCAGTGAAGTTGGCAAAGGTGGTCTCGCTCTCACATAGATGACTCTGTAGATCATAATAATACTCAGAGGATCCAGAGGACTCCATTTGGTCCCAGGAGGCAGTGGTACTGGGGGCATCTGAAATGATAGACATGTGGGGTTTAAATCCATATAGTTGCAATAGAGATCATCAGGACCAATGTTACAAAAAGGTAAGGTTCATGGACCAGATTCCATTGATGAGCTACTTATAACAAGATTGAGAATTATATAACGTCATTAAGGGACATTTTTCTTTTCCATAGAAAGACTTCCTTGACCAAGGACACACAACAATGGTTTATATTCTGTCATAAGCCCCATCCTCCTGGTAGAGTGGCAACTGAGAGGTCTTGATAGCTCAAGTTCACAGTAGATGTAGGTACAAAGCGAGGCTCTGCTATTGTGTCCTTGTGCCATTTTCTTAACCCTTTCTGAGCCTTGGTTTCTCGTATACAAAAGGGCTCATGTTCCCAGATCAATCACGCCAGCTGTTCAATATAAGGCTGGAGAGCATTTATTCAATGTCATTATTCAATAAATGGCTAGGGAGTGTTGTGTCTATCTTTCCTCTCCTTTGACCTCCCCTTCTTTCTTTCTCCTTTCATTTTCTCCATTCTCTCTCTCATTTTCTGCTCATAAACTGCACAGATCTCGATAAAAGGCTTGTGTTGGAAATGTTTTCTCTTTCTTGGGATAGCCTGAAGAAGTGAGGGCACAGACAAAGCAAACTCATGCCAAAGTTACAGACGGAAATTCTGGAAGGACAAATCCTTGCTAGCTTTGAGGATTAAATCTCAGGGAAGAAGGCTTCTTCAGTTGAGAGTTTAGTTTACATGTCTTATAAGATAAACACACGTCTGGAGCAGGTAAGGAGGAAAGAAGCTCAGAAAAGATGCGGTGAGCCAAACTTATTCAACTTCCTTTGGTAACTGGGTATTGGAAACTGAGATAAGAAGGCTGAAGAGATGATTGGAAGGGCTGGAATTTTCATTTCGACACGTCATCGAAGCTGCTGGGTCGTATGAGGAGAGTAGAAATCTTGAAACAGCAGCTATCTGAGTCAGATAAGTGAGTTCTCATCACCTGGGGTTGGGGTGGGGTACTGTGCCTATATACCATAGAAATTCCCTGTGATCTTGCAACTTTCTGTAAGATATATATATATATATATATATATATATATATATATATATATATCTGGTGGTGAAGACACTTTCTCATTATTTATAAAACCAGGAAGCTGGAGCAGCTAAGACTGCAACTCAAACTCCTATGTTCTTGTAATTTGAGGAAGATAATTGGAGAAATAGTCTGAGCTTCTCAAATATTAAAATTTAAATAGGTTGGGCATGGTAGTGCATGCCTATAGTTTGCCTACTATAGGTCTAAGGTGGGAAGATTATGAATTTGAGGTCAGCCAGGGCTATGTAGTGGGACCATGTATTTTTTTTTAAATGTATTTAAAAAGTATGTTGTGTCATAATAAAGCAGCATAGTTGTGGCAAAAAAAAAAAAAAAAAAAAAAAACCAAGGAGACAGGTAGATAAATGTAATAAACAGAGAAGCCACACAGCTATAGCTACCTACCAGAGTTTTGATAAAAACACAAAAATCATACATTGGAGAAAAGTCAGTCTTTTCAACAAATTGTTCTGGGAAATCTGGCTATCTACATGTAGAAAAATAAGCTATATCTCAATAAAAAACAGTTCAACTTGGATTACAGACTTTAATATAAGATCTGAACTTCTGAAACTGTTAGAGGAGAGCAGAGGAGACACTTCAAGATTTGTCATAGGAGCTTTTTAAGAAAAGGACTCTAGCACCTCAGAAAATAATATAAGAACTGATAAATGGGATTGCATGAAATTAAAAATCTTCTGCGTAGCAAAGGCAACAATCGGGGGAAGGGATGGCTTATAGAATGGGATACACATGACAGGAGATTAACGTGTGGAGTAGATAAAGAACTTTTAAGAACTAAATACTAAAAACCCAGCCAGCTCAATAAAGAGGCCAATGAAATGAGCAGACAATTCTCAAAAGATGAAGTGCAAATGGCCCCAAACATATAAAGAATATTTAACATCATTAGGGATCAGAGAGTTGTAAATTAAAGCCGTATTTATATTTCATCCCCCCCCAACAGTCAGAATGCCTATCATTATGAAAAGAACAGATGCGTAAAGGGTGTGGGGGAAAATGAACCCTTATTCACTGCTGGTGGGGATGAAAATTGGTGTAGCACTATGAAAATCATTATAGAGTTCCCTTAAAAGCTAAAAACAGAACTACCACATGATCCATCCCTGGGTATGTACCCAAAGTTCTCTAAGACAATACAGCACACACTGTACATCTTTTTTTTGTTTTGTTTTTTGTTTTTTGTTTTTTTTTTTTTGTAACACTATTCAGAACCAGCCAAAAGTCATCTGTTAACCGATGGCCCAGTAATGAAAAATGTGCCTTGTATACTATTGTGGTTTGAAAGGGAATGGCCCCATAGGTTCATACATCTGAATGCTTAGACACTAGTAAGTGGAAGAGTTTGGGAAGAATTAGGAGGTGTGGCCTTATTGGAGTTGATGCGTCATTAGGAGTAGGATTTGAGTTTTCAAAAGCACAAGCTAGGCCCCCCTCTTTCTCTCTCTCGGTGTCTCTCTGTCTCTCTGTCTCTCTCTCTCTCCTGCCTGTGGATCAGAATATAAAGCTCTTAACTATTACTACAGCATCATGCCTTTCTTTCTGCTTCCCACAATGATGATCATGACCTCGCTCTCTAAAACTATTAAGCAAGTCCCCAATTAAATGCTTGCTTTTATAAGAATTGCCTCCACCATGGTTTCTTCTCACAGCAATAGAACGGTTATTAAGGCATAACACAAAGGAGTTTTATTCTCCCGTAAAGAAAAATGGTGTTAAGTAATTTGCTGGGAAACGGTTGCAATTTGAGATCATTATGTTAAATGAAATATGCCGTACAAACATCCCTTGTCCTCCACCTCCCCACCCACAGGTACCCAGGTTGGGACAGTTAAAAATACTGGAAAGCAAGGCATATACATTACAAAAGAAGAAAGATAGAATGTCCCATATTTTGTCTGCTTAAATGGCTGTCTTTTAACTGTAAATGTGCTGGTGGTATCTGAAAGAGCTGAACAGACACCTGAAGCTGTTTCCTACAAGGGAGGCAGAACTTAGTGTCAGGAATTTTTTATATAGATCCCCTTTCAACTTGCTTTATGAGGCAAGTGTAACCATGATACCAAAATCAGACGAAAAATTTACAATTAGCAAAAACTACAGACTGTCTTCACGAACACAAAATTTCTCCTTTTACTCTTTGAAAGAGACTATTCTTAAACTCATTATGTAACCCAGGGCCTTCAACTTCTGACCCTCCTAACTCTACTTTGAGACTGGTAGGATTCTAGGACTGTGCCACCACACCAGGTTTATGCAGTACTGGAAACTAAATCGAGAGCTTTGTCCATGCGAGGCAAATGTTCTACCAAACTGAGCTACATCTGTACCTCATGACAAAATTATTTCCAAAATGTAAGTTGAGTCAACTTCACTAATACATTGAGGATATTTATTATATTTATTTACTTATTTGTGTTTGAGTGTATGCTTCATGTATTTGCCATGGTATGCATTTTGGAGGTCAGAGGACATGTGAAAGTTGGTTTTCTCCTTCTACCAGGTGGATCCCTGGGATAGAACTCAGGCCATGAGGCTTGGTGCAAGCACTTTTGTCTACTGGGCCATCTCTTTGGCCTCAGTAATGTATTTTAAACTGCGATATAACATAACCAAGTGTGTTTGTCCTAGAAATGTGAGGTTGCCCAGCCATCAAAAATAAGAATTTACATAGCAACTTGGAGTCAAACAAGCCCCTCCACTTTTTCAGCAAGGAAAACATTCTATTCAAGGAAAGACTCATAGATTGCCTTCTCTAAACGTACAGATTCTTGGAAAAGCCCAGACGAAAGGAATCTGCATCTCAGGGGCAAGCCTCAGAATGCTTGTGGTTTACTAGCCAGCTAAGAGGTTCTGATGACCAGCAAACTTCAGTACCCCTGTAAGGTAAAAATGTATGCAAAGGAACTCACCTGAGTCTGAACTGATTCCCATGTCACTGTCCAAGTCCGTGTGCCTTGAGCTCCCTTTGTTCTCCTCTTCCAGAGTTAGAGCCTCACCTTTGCTAGGTAATAATCCTGTGGTTGAGACACATTGCATCAAACTGTCTACACTGGCCTCAAATATGTTTTTCTAATGTTTCCGTATACTTGGTTTCAGTATGAACAGCATACAGATCCATCCCCTACTCTAAACTATAAAGCTCTAAACCACTCTTTAGACATGGACTGTGGATCTTTTCTGGCTAATTGTCCATCCGATCCACTCCAACAAGACACATAGCTCTGTTTGTGCTGTAATCCCTTGCAAAATGAGATCAGACATGAACACAGTCACAAAAGACCGCCACTTTCTAGGTGTGATGGTACATTCCCTGTAATCCCAGAACTTTAGAGATAGAGGTAAGAGGATCAAAATTTAAGATGACCTACCTATAATATAGTAAGTTGAAGGCCAGCTTGGGCTAGAATAAGACCCTGTCTGAATATCCAAGCTAATGACCCCCCAAATAAAAGGTGCTGTTACTGCTTTGAGAGCTCTGGAAATGGCAGCTGCGCCTGACTTTTTGTTGCATTCACAGGGGTCTCTGGCTTCCAGACGCGTTCACGTGACATGCAGGCATTTACCAAAATGTGCCAGCTTCAGCATTACAACTTCTTTCCAGGATACTACCAAAGTGAACTGGTGAAGTGAACTGGGAAGAGCCTGAAGCATTGCACCTGGTTGTTCATTCTTTGTGAAAGATAAATAAATGAATAAATAATAAAAGAATACTCAGACTCTCAGCTGTTTTGCTTATGAGCCCAAACCTCCAGATTTCAATCTGTACTCATCGAATTTGCTGTTTGATTTATGAATGTCTCAGCTCTCAATTCCCAGGAGCAGGGATAGTTAGGTAAAGAACTTTTACGGTGACTTCCATATAGCATAGTACGTAGTGTGAACATACCAGTTCCCGTTTTTTTATGG